CTCTGCACCGCTAAATGGTGCAAAGCAGTAGCAACAGACTGGTCAGTCTGTCCTGTTTGTAAAAGTAAAACCCTACAAGTAAGTCTGCTAACTAGAGCGGTCACTACTTTTGTAAGTAATTATGGTATATCATTTAAGGCAGAATCGGTTCCTGCGGTGTTTCCCCTCCCCAGACACACCAGATTTTCTTTGGGTGGGAAGCTCTCTGATCCAAACTGAAAGTCTGCTTTTTAAATAAACCGCTTTAGCCTCTTAAAGTGGGGCTGGTCTACCCGTATGACTAAACCAGTCTAATTAAATGCCTTCATTCCCTGTAGTATACTCATCAAGCTAAAGATTAAAAAAAGCTGTTTTGTTGGGGTATTTTTGCAATAGACTTTCAGCCTTTAAAATGTCATTTTCAAGACAATCCTCTGGGTTGTCAAAAAGTGGTGAGTTTGAGTAGGCTTTATACATTTCTCTTTGTTTCCTTTGGGAAAAAAAAGACATGCTAGAAACTGTAATTGAAACAAAAAGACAAAAAAATATTGCTATAATAAAAGAGGGATCAAATAAGTACATCCTTCATGCTTTCTGAATAGGCATTTTGAATCTCTGCAAGTTTCCTGCTTACATTAATTCCAACTGGCACCACAAAAGCAAAAAGCGGGCAGGGAACGGGTGGGGGAATACTGATGAGCGAGGAAACCGCACACGCACTGGTCTGTATTTGAGGGGAGGTGGGATGGAGGGAGAAGTTCGGCTGCAGCTCTGTAAGACGACTTTGTTTTCCCCAGGGAGGTGCTTTCTATTTCTTAGAGCACGTGGCCGCTGATCGTTCCAGCTGGAAGCATTTTTGGCAGCAGGTCTGGTATCCAACTTGGAAACTTGTCTTTAATGGATGCTGCCTAACAAGAGAGATATGGAATAATCTCGAACAAGCCAACTTCTCGGAGCTGAACTTACGACACATAACCATCGCGCTGCCCTGGATGCCCGTTCAGCCTCACATCATCGGATACGCTGTGAAGTAACTCACGCCGCCCTGCCAGGCCTTCTCCCCTGCCCCTGATGTAGACGAGAAACAGATGGACGGGAGGAGGAGAGAAGCCAATTTCTCAGACAAAAGAGCAGCTTGACCTAAGAGATGCAGAATGTGACTGGGGGGCGGGGGGGGGAACGGAACGGGACACTAATAAGCTAAAAGTTAGACTCTACCTATTAGTCAATAGTACCACACTGTGAGCTTGTAAATCTGCACGCTTGCTAACCACTAAAATCCGTGAGGAAGCATCTGAAGACTGATCAAAGGGAACATCCTGCCCCAGAAGATCACTAGGCTGGGAAGTTGCCACGTAAGTGCAAAGGCAGCAGAAATCAGCAGTAACTGGGGGAACGGAGGAGGTGACGGGGGGCAATCGTGCCCACCGACTCAATTCAAGACTGAAAAGACTTGCCGCTTCCCCCCGCACCTGCAAGGAGCATGCGTGCTAATTTACATAGCAAGCGAGGCTAATTTAAATACAGCTAACCAATAAGTGTAATTACTAACCAACAGGTGTAAATTCAGGTGGGTTTTTGCTAATCACGTCACAGGGTAGAT